AACCTGGGTGTCCATCAATGGATGCATGGATAAAGAAGAGCAGGTATATATATACAATGGAATATTACTCAGCAATAAAAAGAATGAAATTTGCCATCTGTCACAACATGGAAGGACCCAGAAGGTATTGTGCTGACTGGAGGAAGTCAGAAAGACAAATGCCACATGATTTCACTTATATGTCGAATCTAAAGAACAAAATAAACAAACAAAAAACAGAAACAAACTCATAGATACAGAGAACATTTTGATGGTTGCTGCCAGCTGGGAAGGGCGTTGGGGGGGGGTAGGTGGAAAAGGGGAAGGGATTAAGAAGTACAAATTGGCAGTTACAAAATAGTCATGGGGATGTAAAGTACAGCATAAGGAATTAGACAATAATATTGTAATAATTATGTATGGTGTCAGGTGGGTACTAGATTTATTGTGGTGATCACTTTGTAAGTTATATAAATGTCTAATCACTATGTTGTATACCTGAAACTAATATAATATTGTATGTGAACTGTAATTGCAAAAAAAATGTTCTGGAGCTAGAGTGGTGATGGTTGCACAACATTAAGAATGTATTAAATACCACTGAAATGTACACTTTAATATGGCCAAAATGGGAAATTTTATGTGTATTTTATCACAATAAAATAGAAATGGAATACCAACAAACAAAAAACAAAAGTAACCGCCATCCTGTATTCCGTGTTTATGACTCTCCTGTATATCGTCACAATCTTACTGCATATGTATATGTCCCTAAATAAGGCACGATGCTGTTTCATATGTTTTAAAATTTTATATAAATATTGTACTTTAGGAATCCTGCAATTGCTTAATTCTAAACTCACGCATTACTTTTTAAAAATCCTACTTATTCAAACATGTTTCCCCCATTCCTCACCAATTAAAAAAGAAAAAATTCTCACCCCTTACCATCTCATTTTTGAAGCCTTTAAGTAGCAGTGAAATAAGAAATAACAAGATAAAACCTACAGAGACCTGAGCCTACCTCTAAGAAATATAAACAAAATCCAAATTGTGGGATTTGTTCCAAAAGGCCATTTACCAAAAGCCACTATTTATTGTATTTACCGCCATTTCCCTGATTCTAAAACACCATCAATTTATAGGGAGACTAAAAAATCAAAATAAAACTCTATATTGGAGATTTCAGTATGTGAAAAACGTGTCTTAGATTCAATGAAATGGTTCACATTGAAGTATCTTAAACTAGCCTTAAAAATTGTCTCCAAAAAAACCTCTCAGATCATAAACATTTTCACCAATTCTTCATTCATGTGTGTGTGTGTTTAGTATAATGAACTATTGAAACATATGGAAATGAAAATGGCACAGTAAAAAGCCAATTCACTTATTAAAAAAATATTTTTTAAGATAAATTTATTAAAGGAAAAATATTTGAAAGCACACATTGTACAAGGCATGGGGGGGAAAAATTACATAGGTGATGCTATCAATAAGATTGCAGGCTAGGGCTGGCCGAATGGCACATTGGTTGAGAGCTGGCTTGGGACGCCAGAGGGCCCCGGTTCAGATCCCACATGTGAGGGCCAGTGACACTGCCCTCTACAGCTAACATGCTGAACAACAGCTCAACCTGGAGCTGGGCTGCCGTGAGTCGCCAGCGACAGCATAGGCTGCAGCCCCTGCTGCAGTGGGTTGCCATGGGCTATGGTGTGTGGCCGGCAGCAAGCGTGAGCGGCCAGCAGCCGCTGTGAGCGGCCGTCCAGAAGCCAGCGACTGATCTGCCTCACCTGGGAAGAGCGCAATGATGGTGCCAACTTGGGCCAGTTAAGAAAGTCCTCCACAACTAGACTGAAGAACAAAAGGACAGCAACTTGTCTGTTCCCCTTCCCCCAATTCCCCAGCACTGTTCCCATCCCCCCAATTCCCCAATAAAAATCTTTAAAAAAAAGAAGATTGCAGGCTAATAAACATAGTAATTACAACAGAAGTGACATGTGCCATAAGAGTAGTTTGAAGAACATGCTTTGAGGAGATAAGTAACAGGTGACCCAATGGAAAATAAATAATTTGAACTAGATTTAGATGAACAGACGGGTAAACATAGCACTGCAAGCAGGAAAAAAAAGAATGAGTAAAATTACAGGGAGGAGTATGGATACGTATATAGAAAACTGAAGAATTCAATTTGGCACAGAAAAAACAGAATAACAATAGCTGGGGTCAGCTCACAGAGGATACTGAATATAAAGCTAAAAGGTACTACTCCCATTGTGCTTGAAACGGAGAACTACGGTATACTAAGATGATTCTTGTGGGAGGGAAAACAGCACAGTAAAGCTTGAACTCTGGAACCAGACAGCGTGGATTAAAATTCCAGCTCTGCCATTTAGCTGTGTGATCTTAACAAGACACAACTCTAGGCCTTTGTTTCACTTATAAAATATGAACAATTACAGTATCTATCTTACAGGTTATTATATAGATTTAATAAGATGATGCATATAAGCACTTAAAAATAGTGGGACCCACAGTAAGTATGCAATAAAT